AATCCCAGAGCTGCTGCTGGAGAAAGCAAAGAGTGATGAGGGTCAGGAGAGCTTGAGCCTGGGGGCTGATGGTGATGGATGGACGGAGTCCTCCCTGGATGCCGGCCATGGACGGAAGAGAAGGGAAGAAGAAGCAGGAAGGAAGTTGTCTTCTGTGATCTCTGACTTTCCTATGAGCTTACATAGATATATGGAATGGAATATCTCTGGTCAGTTTTCTGTCTGTCTAATTCAGCCTCCTATGGGAGGGGTCATAGATCTCCCTGTAGTGTCTGAGCTGGCAGAGTAAAGATGCGACCTTGAGGACCCAGCAGTAAGGAAAACATTCCACTCTAATAATTCTTAGTTGGAGGGCTCTTCTGCTAGTTAAAATAAAGCTTACTGAAGAAAAAAAAAAAAAAAAAAAATCAGAAAAGGAAAATTGGCTTCATCCTGGCTCAAACCAGGACAATTATAGAATAATTTCTTTAGTCATATCAATCTTTTTCCTGACCATTTTAATTGTATGATATGTTTCTTGCATCCTTCACTGCCTGCAGTTTTTTATGCTGAGAATTTTAAGGTTGGGGTTTTTTAGCTTTATTAAAGCTGGAAATCATCCAGAACACTTGTACGGTGTTAAAATTTCTCAGTATTAATAAAATGCAACAAAACAAACAAAAACCAACCAACCGAAAAAAACAACAACAAAACTTAAAGAAGTTTAGAAGGATGAATTGGCAAATTAAAATACATGTAACAGGGTATGGTTATGAGGTATGTAGCATAAACATAAATATAAGGAGGTTGAGTGTTAAATCTAAGAAGGAATATCAGTAGAGAGCAAAGAGGATTAGGTCACAGTCATGCTGGTCAACATGTTCAGTGTAATAAAGTTTTCCCCCTAATGTGCTACCATAAACAACAAGATACTACAGGTGGGAACTGATTACATTGTTCTGGAGTTTTCAGAAAATTATTTTGGATACTGATTTGAGATAGTTATCTATATATAATTTTGTCAAAAGGTACTTACATTCTTCCTGCTTATCTGCTGTTTTGAAACATTCTAAACATTCAGTAGTCTGTTTTTCCTGCTATAATTTTATTAGCACTCAGAGATGACTAATAATTAAATGAGAGATTTGTATTATTTTTCTATAAAGAAAAAACAGTAACATTTTCAATCCTGAAATGTATGACTCCAATTCTGAGCTCTTGATCCAAATTATTAAAATTTATACTTTAATGGCAAATTCTATAACATCATGTGTTAATTCAGCATCCCTTAAGACCCTTTCAGTGGGTTGCAAAAACTCTTAAGTAAAAAATATAATTATATATAAAGTAGGGATGAAAATAGGGATGAAATCCCTACTTTAATAGATTTGGTTGTTGTTTCTTGTTTTTTTCATTGCTGGTTGGTTGTTGTTGTTTTGTTTGGTGTTTTTTATTTGTTTGTTTGTTTTTTTAAAATAACATTGTATTCAAATTGATTGTATCTTTTGAATCACATTGTTTAGGTTTATAATATTAAATGATGAAATCAGTATGCCCCCAACATTTGAAATCTTTTAAGCAAGTGCATTAGAAATATCTATGTGATAAAAAAACCTAGCAAACAAAGAAACAAAAAAGCAAAGAAGCCTAAACTCCACTGTAACTGAGCAAGCTGATAGACTGGAAAAACAGCTGAATGAAAGGTCAAACATAATAACTTGTGCATGGCCTGAATATATCTGACACTAATTAGTCATAGCTGCAGCATAGCAGTGATTTAAAGATCATTCCACTGCTTTGCTTGTAAATTAGGTTCTTGCTACAGCTGGGTTGTTATTTTTCTTTTGACCAAAGCAATGGTCAGATTATGCGCACAAAGTGCATAAATGCATCAGAACTTTTCAGATGAAGCACGCTCCTATGCAAATCACAGATGTTAAAAGCAGTGGAACAAGAATGTATGAATGTTTTCTATCCAGGTTTTGTTCTGTCATTACACATGAAATGAGAATTTGCATGTAAGTACACTTATTTAACATAATAATATTTGTATTTACAATTAAGTAATATTTATTATAAATACAATAATATTTCTTACGACAGGTTCAGAATATATGTAAAACATTGTGTATATTATTTAGTCCTATATTGTGTTTAATGTATTAATAAATAATCCTCATATTTTCTAGATAATTTAAAGTATGGCTCAGAATACAGAGTGAAGTCTCATACATAACTTTACCTAGGGAGGATTTTTTGACTGGTTGAGGAAATTTTAGACATGAAACTGGTGTTACAGCAGTGTAAAAACACATTAGCTTTCTGGATAGAGGATGGAAAAGGAAACAAAGAACCTCCTAAAAAGAAAGTTTTATGTTTCAATTAAATGAATAAATTAATATCTCAAAAATTTGACAAAGACATTTTTTTAACTTATTTTGATGTAAGTTTGCCTTCACAATTGTTTTGAGCTTCATTATGCTCTTTTACACACAGGATTTGATTTTACTAACACAGTCTGGAATACACGTGTGATTTCTGATGCCAAAATAGCCTGAATAATTCTGTCTCCAAACTGGGGTTAAGTAAAGAAACTACAGGGTTAGAAATCAAGTAGGAGGGTTAAAAGCAAGTTGGAGTGTAGGCTTTCATTGCAGGCTTTAGTTCAGCCCATGATACTCTTCCTTCATGCAATAATGTAGGTGATTAAAAGCTATCTACTTTACACATTTATACTGCTGAGTGTCCTTGCTGCTTAATGCATAATACAGTGTTTCTAAGTTTCTAAAACAGCATTCTTTAAGGAAAAAAAAAAAAATGTTGAGAAAAATAGTATGTTTTCATGCTATTAAAAAAACAGTATAATATAGTGTATGTAGGAGTATCAGCTAAGATTCAGTAGGCAGAGGCTAGCTTTACAACTCTATTAGTATTTATGCAAACAATGTTGATTATATTTAACATTCATATTAACTGAAGGTTGCATTGAGTCCTTTTAGCCATCAGTTGCCTTTATGGTTGTGAAGATTCTGCATAATCTAGAATAATGCCATGTTCGCTTAATACCACAAGAATGAAGGGCTAGTATTTGTAGTCTGAAGGAAAAGCTGTTTGATTTCCTTCTCTTCCTTGTGAAAAGAATTAAAACAAAAAACAAACAACCAAACAAGAAGTACCTAACTATATTTTTTGACCTTTAGAGTGTTTAAAAACAAGCAATAAAGACCCATTTAATATTAAATTTATACACCCCAAAAATGGGCTCTTCCCAGATAAAATCTTTGTGGACTGAAAGCTAAGAATATTGGCTTTTAAACTGACCATTTGGAATAGTTTAAGGAATCATTTGGATTACTGTTAGGCTGTTTCTGAATTAAAACCCACAATTTTAAATTAAGAACACATGCTTTAAGTGTACCCTGCAACAAAAAAAATCTAGCAATGCATATTCTGTACTCAAAATTTAAAAACTAATTTTCATGAGGTTGTTGCACTCCAAGAATTATTTTGGAAAAAATTTAAATAAGAATGAAAAACTCCATTTACTCACAGTGAGTAACTCCAAGTACTCAAAGTTCTTGGACCTGTACTCTGGTTCTGTCAGCCAACTAATTGTCACTTTCATTGGCTGCTTCATTTGTTATAGAGCAAAATAAGAACTGGAAGGGACAAGAAGTCTGTAAGTATCTCACCCTCTGAACAGTAGCTCTTTTTCAGTGTTTGTTTTAATATGTTTCCACTTTCACCCACTTAGATAATGAAATTATAAAGCATGAAGCTGAAAGTGGTATGGGCATTCAGAGCCACTAATTCTTATTGCTTATTACTAGCTTAATAAGTTAGCTCTAATGAGCCTGTTCACAAGATGTTTTAATTTTTATTGAATGTTCATAGATTATTAAAATTTTACTAGTACAGATGAGGGAAGGTGCAAAGATTCATGTATAGGAGCATCATATATGCATGCAATATGCTTATCTCTGCTTCAAAACCTTGTGGAAAGAAAAGCTGTGTAGCTAAAGGTTCTGGTTTCTATATACCTCTGTAGTTGCAACATCTCTGGCTTATAGCTATAGCAAAAGTTTTGTCCATACATCCAAAAATGTGTCAGCTTTTTAATAATGCTCATCAAAATATTTCAGAGAGTTATTTCTATCTAATATATCAGATGTTTAGATCCAAATGTTTGAACAAACTATTTCATCATCACATATTGCAAACAGGCAACGAGGAAAAGGTCCACAGAACACCTGAACATGTAAGTAACAAAATCAGTAGATATTTTCCAGTCTCTAGGGTGCTAATATTAATGATTATAGTTCTCTAAATCTTTTACATGCTTCTTTACATTACTTTTTATTTCTTTTTGTTTTAATTATGTAACAAAAAGAGAAAGTAGTCTTACCAGTTAAATGTTGCCAAAAAAGTTTCTACAATAATACCATTTTTTAAATTATTACTCACCTGAAAAAAATACAAAATTTAGATTTTTCTCTATTAAGAGAACATTGATTTAAAATATTTTTTTTAATTCTTTGTATTCTTTAGTTATAAACCAGAGTCTTTCAATACTATGGTCTGTCAGTATAAGAACTGCACATTAAAAACACAGATTTGCAATAAAATTTATCTAACCTTTATGTAAGAGGTAGCCATAGACCTCATTCTATTTTACTAGGAAGAAGTACTAGATGGTATAATTCACTGAAATGCCAGTGTTCTACACATTTTGTGAAAAGAGTGTTTCATTTTTAAATGTTTCATTAACTTAAATTTTAGAAGCTGTGATATTTTTCAATCAATGTCTTGTCAGTATTGAATGAGCAGATGACTTAACACTTGGTCCAGAAGAGTAAACAAGATTGAGCAGTCAGTCCTATGGAATTCACTGTTGGTTACATTTTACACCCATGCTTGACTGTTTGACAGATGAGAGTGTAAAATTAAAAGATCAACAATACTTCCATATATTTCTGTATTCGATATGGATGTGACTGATTTTCTTTTCATTTTTTTTCTAGGCCTTTTCTGGAAATAAAAACTCTGACAGTGTTGTATACTACAAGCTTCATCATTCCATTAATGCAAGATTTCTCCGTTTTGTGCCTTTGGACTGGAATCCCAGTGGCAGAATAGGAATGCGCATTGAACTCTATGGATGCACATACAGTAAGTGTTTTGCTGAATCAGCTAAATTAAACAATTACTAATAATTTTCTTTTGTTATCTAAATTACACTTGAAAGTAGATTTATAAATCTAAATTCAACCTTGAATAAAAGTGATTCAATAAGTTTTATGTGCAGACTTCACTGTTTCTGCATCATCTAACAATATGTGGTACATATTTTCCAGTTCTTTCTGTTTTGGAACAAATGATGTGAACATAATTCAGGAACATATTAACTGTGAACTCTTTTTTGATAGTCTTAGAACCTCTATCTTAACATGGTATACTTTCTACCTAAGGGCAGAATTTGAAAAATGTTTACAGTTCTGAATATATACCGTCTTGTTCCTGAGTCCAAAAAATACAAGATAGACCCACAAATATACAATTGAAGGATACTTCATAGTTGCTACATATTTAAAGGGCACTTTCAGAAAAGTTTTTGTGTCAGTAATAAAACATTATTAAGCGACATAATAATTTTAAAGATAAATGCATAAGTATTATGGTTGCATTGATCTGCTGGACAGTGTAACCCTTCCTGTTATCTTCCTGCCACAGTTCTTCATCCATGGTCTTTAAAACAATATATTCCTCTTAGCAAGCTGCTTACTGCTTTTTATTCTCTGTATCTTTTCTCCATGAGGGAAACAGGGTTTATTTTAAGCAAACTAAGTACTTTGGGTTTTTTAGTGTTTGGATGGCATTTTTTTCATTTTTTTTTTCACTTCCATCCTTAATTCATGCTTCTTATGATCATAGAACGATAAAAGGGTTAAGGTTGCAAGGGAACTTAAAGATAAACAGGCTCCAACCTCCCTGCTATGAGCAGGGACCACACTTGGCCAGGCTGCACAAAGCCTCCTCCAGCCTAGCCTTGAACAGCTCCAGGGAGGAAGCTTCCACAACCTCCCTAGGCAACATATTCCAGCACCTTACTACCCTCATGGTGAAGAATTTCTTCCTAATATCTAACCTAAATCTCCCATCTCTCAGTTTAAAACCATTACCCCTTGTCCTATCACTACCTTCTCTGGTGGAAAGCCCCTCCCCAGCTTTCCTGTACGTTCAGGTACTGGAAGAACACTATAAGGTCTCCCTGGAGCCTTCTCTTCTCCACACTGAGAAGTCCCAACTCTCACAGACTGTCTTCATAGCAGAGGTGATCCTGCCCTTCGATCATCTTTGTGGCCCTTCTCTGGGGCCATCTACAACAGCTCCATTTCTTTCCTGTGATAAGGACTCCAGAGCTGGAGGCAGTACTCCAGGTGAAGTCTTACCAGAGCAGACTAAAGGGGCAGAATCACCTCCCTTGCTGTGCTGGCCATACTTCTTTTGATGCAACCCAATATGTGGTTGGCCTTCTGGGGTGTAAGCACACACTGGTGGCTCATGTCGAGCTTCTCATCTACTACCACCCCCAAGTCCTTCTCCTCAGGGCTGGTCTCTTATCCATTCTCCTCCCAGCTTCTATTTGCGTCTGTGATTACGCTGACCCATGTGCAGGACCTTGCACCTGGCCTTGTTGAACTTCATGAGGTTGGCACTGGCCCACCTCTCCAGCCTGTCAAGGTCCCTCTGGATAGCATCCCTTCCCTTTAGAGTGTCAACTACTCCACATAGCTTGGCATTGTCAGCAGAATTGCTGAGGATACACCCACTGTCCATGTCTCCAACCAGTGCTAAAGAGCACTGGTCCCAGTACTGAATCCTGAGGAACACCACTTGTAACTTTTCTCCACCTGGACACTGAACCATTGACCAAAACTCCCTGGGTGCAGTCATTCAGACAATTACTGGTCCATCAGTCAAATCCATATTCTGTCAGTTTGGAGACCAGGTTGTCTTGTGGGACAGTGTCAAATGCTTTGCACAAATCCAGGCAGAAGACATCAGTTGCTCTGCCAATATCCTGTGTAGCTAGGTCTCCCATTTTCTTCAGGAAAGGACCTATATTTTTGGTTGTCCTTTTATCCCCAACATATCTATAGAAGATTTTCTTATTGCTCTTTGAATCCCTGCTGAGACTTAATTCTGTCTGGGATTTGCCTCTCCTTATCTGAACTCTAGGTGCTTGGACAGCCTCTCTGTAGTCTTCCTCTTTCTTAAGTCTGAGCTGTTCTAGGAGCTGCTTGCTCATCATCCTCTCGGAGTTTTTATCAGACATCCTCCGAGCTGGGATGCATCACTCTTGGGTCTGTAGAAGGTGATCCTTAAATACCAGTAAGCTTTCATAGGCCCTTCTTACTTCCAGGATGTTATCTCCTGACACTCTCTTGAACAGATCCCTGAAGAGGCTGAAATCTGCCCTCCTGAAATCAAGAATAGTAAGCTTACTGTGAGTCCTCCTAGCTGCCCTAAGGGCATTGAACTCACAAAATCATAGAGAATCACAGGATCTTAGGGGATGGAAGGGACCTCAAAAGATCATCTAGTCCAATCCCCCATGCCAGAGCAGGATCGCCTACAGTACATCACAGATGAATGCGTCCAGGATGGTTTTGAATGTCTCTAGCAAAGGAGATGCCACAACTTCTCTAGGCAGCCTGTTCCAGTGCTTAGTCACTCTCACAGTAAAGACGGGGTTTTTTTATGTTTATGTGGAACCTCCTATGTTCCAGTTTGTACCCATTACCCCTAGTCCTATCACTAGACATCACTGAAAAAAGCCTGGCTCCATCGTCCAGACACTCCCCCTTAACATATTTGTAAACATTGATAAGGCTGCCCCTCAGTCTCCTCTTCTCCAAGCTAAAGAGACCCAACTCCCTCAGCCTTTCTTCCCAAGGGAGATGTTCCACCCCCTTAATCGTCTTTGTGGCTCTGCACTGGACTCTTTCAAGCAGTCTCCTGTCCTTGAACTGAGGGCCCAGAACTGGGCAAAATATTTCAGATGTGGCCTCCCCAAGGCAGAATAGAGGGGGAGGAGAACCTCCCTTGACCTACTAATCACACCCTTTCTACTACACTCCAGGATGTCATTGGCCTTCTTGGCTACATGGGCACATTGCTGGCTCATGGTCATCCTCCTGTCCACCAGGAGCCCCAGGTCCCTTTCTCCTACACTGCTCTCCACCATGTCAGCCCCCAACCTGTACTGGTAGATAAGGTTGTTCTTCCCCAGATGCAAGACTGTACACTTGCCCTTGTTGGATTTCATTAAGTTTCCCCCTGCCTAACTTTCCAGCTTGTGTAGGTCTCGCTGAATGGCAGCACAGCCTTCTGGTGTATCAGCCACACCCCCCAGTTTAGTGTCATCAGCAAACTTGCTCAGGGCACACTCTGCTCTACCATCCAGGTCGTTGATTAAAATATTGAATGGTACCAGTTCCAGTACCGACTCCTGAGGGACTCCACTGGTCACAGACCTCCAACCAGGTTTTGTCCCATTGAAAACAACTCTCTGACTTCTTCCTTTCAACCAGTTCAAGATCCACCTCACTACCTGACCATCATGAGCACACTTCCTTAGTTTATCTATGAGGATGCTGTGGGAGATAGTGTGAAATGCTTTACTGAAATCAAGATAAACCACATCTACCACCCTACCATCATTGATCCACCTAGTTACTTCGTCATAGAAGGCTATAAGGTTGGTCAAATATGACTTTCCCTTGGTAAAACCATGTTGACTGCTCTTAATGACCCCCTCATCCTTGGTAGGCCTAGAGATAGTGCCAAGAACAAGTTATTCCATCACCTTTCCAGGGCTAGAGGTGAGACTGACTGGTCTCTAGTTACCCAGGTCCTAGACTGGAATGACATTTGTTATCCTCCGGTCCTTAGGCACCTCTCCTGTTGCCCACGACTTAACAAAGATTATGGAGAGTGGCCAGTTCCCTCAGCCAGTTCCATCTGGACCCATTGATTTGTGGGTGTCCAGATTGCTTAACTGATCCCTAACCCAATCCTCATCTTCCAAAGTAAACTCCTCCTTCAATCTGACATCTTGTGGGGCTTCAGGGATCTAGGGCTCCTGGGGAGGGTCTGCAGGAGTAAACACAGAGGCTAAGAAGGCATTCATTACCTCTGTCCTCTGCCACCAGGGCACCCACCTTGTTCAGCCACGGGCCTGTATTGCCTCTAGTGTTAATTCTAGCTGCAATGTATTTGAAGAAGCCCTTTCGGTTGTCTTTGATCTCACTTGGAAGGTTTAGTTCCAAGGAAGCCTTCACTTACTTTATTGCCTCCCTACATCCTCTGACAACAGTCCTATATTCCTCCCAAGTGGCCAGCTCGTCCTTCCATGATCCATAAATTCTCTTTTTCCACTTGAGTTTGCCCAACAGTTCCTTGTTTAACCAAGCGGGTTTCCTGGCTCTCTTAGTTGATTTCCTACCCATTGGGATGCTCTGCTTCTGAGCTTGCAAGAAGTGGTCCTTGAATGCTGACCAACTACTTTGAGCCCCTTTACCATCTAGTACCCTGTCCCATGGGACTTCTCTTAATAATTGATTTAAGAGGGCAAAGTTGGCCCTGTGGAAGTCCAGGGTTTTGGTCCTGCTAGGTATTCTGTTCCTCCCACACAGGATCCTGCACTCCACCATCTTGTGATCACTGCAGCCAAGGCTGCCATTGACCATCACTGCTTCAACAAGACCCTCCTTGTTGGTGAGTACAAGATCCAGCGCCCCTCTCCTACTTGGTTTGTCCACCATTTGTATCAAGAAGTTATCATTGATGCATTGGAGGAATCTCCTAGACTGTGAATGTCTGGCTGTGTAGGCTTTCCATCAAATACCTGGGTAGTAAAATGCCCCATGAGGACTAAGGCCTGTAGTTGCAAGGCTGCTTTCAGCTGCCTGTAGAAAGCCTCATCAACTCCCTTGTCCTGATCAGAGGTCTGTAATAGACCCCCACAACTGTATCACACATGCCAGCCTGCCCCTTAATTCGTACCCACAGACTTTCCACTTGCCCCTGGACAGAACTCAATACATTCTAGTTGCTCTCTGACATAAAGAGTGACTCCACTGCCTCGCTTTGCTGACCTGTCTTTC